CCACCACCGCCCGGCCTATTTTAAATAATTAATTTTTAAATTTTATTTGCTTTGGTATTTTGCCTGCATGTATATCTGTCTATCTATGAGGGTGTATGTCTGTGTGAGGGTGTCGGATCCTGGAGTTAGAGACAGTTGTTAGCTGCCATGTGGGTGCTGGGAATTGAACCTGGGTCGTTTTAACACCTCGCCGTCTCTCCAGCCCCTGATCTGTAGTCTTCATGGAGCTGTGTTCTCAGCAGTTGAGGCAGGAGGTAGTTGTAGCTTCTTGGTCGTTATATTCCCACATTTAAACTCATGCTGACTTTTGCTTCACACATGTCTCCTCCCTCTAACCAGCCTCGCTCGCCCTTCCACTTATTTCCCTCTCTCGGTTCCTCAAATTGGTTTTTAAAATTTTTTATTGCGTTTATTTATGTGTGTAGGTTGAGGTGGCATGTGTGCGCCATAGTGCACAAGTAGAGAGGTCAGAGGACAATTTGAAGGAGTCAGTTCTCTTCCAGCATGTGGATCCATGAGATGGACCTCAGTTCACCAGGCTTGGCAACAAGCAAATGTGAGCCATCTTGCCAGCCCTGGTCCCTCAAACATTTTTCTGCTGTACCCACTCTTTTAAAATCGCCCCAAGTTTACTCTTCCCAAGTGTCTTTACTTTATTTCGGCCGCAGTGGTAATTCCCAGAGTTCTTCTAAACAGATAGCAACACAGTGACTCTAAAGTTACGTAGAAGTGGCAGGAATCTCGAAGAGCTCATCCTCAGAAGGAAGAGCAAGCTGGGCACTGTGCCTGAAGCCTAGAAATCTGTCTCTCTGGATGCGGAGGCAGCAGAATCCCAAGTTGGAGGCCAGCCTGGGCTACATAGCAAGGTCCTGTCTCAAAGATAGGAAAGGATCAAAACTGGAGCCTTTATGTGACCTGGCTTCGGGACTTGGTGTTCATAGCCAAGCTTGCACCTTCCTGTGCTGCTTATTAGGATAGAGAAATAGGTCAGCAGGGTGGGATGGAGTCCAGAAACAGGCCCATGTTACATAGAGTTAACTTTTGAATAAGGCACTGAGCTATTTCGTTGGTGAGAAGAACATTGTTTCAACATTTTATTGGAACTATTGGATCTCCATATAGAAAACAGTTCACTTATCATCAAAATACATAAAAATTTAACTGGGCAGCAGTTAAGATCACTGGCTGCTCTTACAAACGACCCATTTTTGTTTCCCAGCACCCACATGTTGGCTCACAATCATTCATAGTTTCAATTATAGGGGATCTGATTACCCCCTCTTCTGGCCTCCAAGGTCACCTCACAGGTGTGGTACATGTACACACATGCAGGCAAAGCCCTCATACATATAAATTAAATCTTGAGAAAATTAACTTGGAATGGACCATAGACTTAAACATAAAATAAATCACAAAACTGTCTTAGAATTGTAAGAAAAGATGACATGATATAGGCAATGTTTTTTTTGGGGGGGGTTTGTTTTTGTTTTTACAGAGCGTTTCTCTGTGTAACAGCTCTGGCTAACCTGGAACTTGCTTTGTAGACCAGGTTGGCCTCAAACTCAGAGATTGCTCTGCCTCTGCCTCTGAGTGCTAGGATTAAAGGTGCACACCACCACAGGCACACAGGGGTTTTTCAGGATGTAAAATTCAATAACCACAAAAGAGAAGAAATTGATAAGATAGAGTCCATCAAAGCTGCTCATCAAAATGTAGGGTTTTTTTTTTCTTTTTGGTTTTTCGAGAGAGAGTTTCTCTGTGTAGCTTTGCGCCTTTTCCTGGAACTCACTCGGTAGCCCAGGCTAGCCTCGAACTCACAGAGATCCACCTGCCTCTGCCTCCCGAGTGCTGGGATTAAAGGCGTGCGCCACCACCGCCCGGCCAAAATGTAGTTTTAAGGAAATAGTCAAGTCACAGACTTGGAGAGGATAGTTGCAGTGTATCTCTACATACATTTGATAGAAGACTTACTTCCAGCATATATAAAGAACTGATAGCCAACTTAAGCAGGCAAAAGACTTGAAGAGATAATTCAACAAAAGAATATATGGATGGCTAGTGTGCACTTGAAAAGATGCTCAGCATGGTTTTCTGGAAATTTCCTAGTGAATGATAGTGAGATCTGTAGTGTGCCTACCAAGCAAGCATCAGCAAACAGGTTGGACAGCTGGAACCCTTTGCTTTGCTGGGTGCAATATAAAATGTTGCAAATGTGCTCAAAAACATTGAACATTGTTTTCTGACCCAGCAATCTCACTCCTGGGGCATTTACTGAATAAGTATGAAAACGTGTCACCAAAAACTTGTTTCACAATGCTCAGAGGAGCTTATGGTGGGCAGAATGCTGCTGCCCCCAAAAATGCACATGCCACATTCCCTGGAACCTGTGATTATATTTTATGTAGATAGCAAAAGGCATTTCGAGAGCAGAACTAGGCTTAAAGACTTTGAATAGATTTTTTTAACATGAAAATGTTCCTTACTTAGTTTTATACAGGTATATAATGATGTATTTGATCATATTTACTCCTCATCACCCTCTCTTACCCCCTTTAGGTACCAGTTTCCTTGATTAGTGTTAGCAGGCTCCATATTGGCTTTCTCTCTCTCCATTCCCCCTCCCCCATCTCACTATATAGACCTGCCTGGCTAGCCCGGAACTCTCTATGTAGCCCAGACTAGCCTTGAACTCACAGAGATCCACCTGCCTCTGCCTCCTGAGTGCTGGGATTAAAGGTGTGCGCCACAATGCCTGGCTTAACTTTGTTTAAAAACAACTACAAATTTGGCATGCTGTTACTTGGCATTATGTAACTGACAGCATCACGTGACAGAGTCAGTTCAGAATCCTGCAGTGGCCCCACTTCCATACTCTCAGTAGAACAAGTTGACAAAACTAGTAAGAGGAAACCTGAGAAGCACTCAAAACTAATTCCCCCAGCCTGGCAATGATAGCACATACCTTTAATCCCAGCACTCGGGAGGCAGAGACAGGCAGATCTCTCCGAGTTCGAGGCCAGCCTGGTCTACACAGGGATTTCTAGGACAGCCAAGGCTACACA